ACGTATTGGGGTATATTTTGATTGGTTTGCACGTTGTTTGACTAGTTTTGAAGAGACGGGCATCGGGTTGAGGTGTTTGAGTGGCGTTGGAGCCGGTTATGGAACTTCGGAGCGAGGTAAGTCTCCTGTCTAACCTTGTGAGGGAGAAATTACTCATAGTTGATCTTTATTGTTATGTGCAACTAGTTGTGGGTGCTACGTATGCACGAGGTGACGAGAGTCCGTACGTAGATAAAGCATGTTTATGTCCGGGTAGACTTAGGACCTCGTCATGTAATATTTGAATTATTTGAACTCATTCTGTTGGCTTAATTAATTGAAGTTATAATTGAAATTAATTTAGAAATAAATATATGTATACTAGGCCAAGCCTTAACACTTTGAGTTATGGGCGAGTTATTTGAGAAATGGTAAAGATTATATTCATTTTGTGCTCATGTACTGTATTGTAAGCACGTATCTCGTAATTCGGTAACTTCCTTCATTTCTTGTAGGGCGTGCCGAACGCCTCGGCAGTATAATAGATGCATCTATGGTTTGTTCCGCACGGTCCTCGATAGTGTACAGATTATTCTGAATTGGACCGAACGACCTCGACAGAATCGTGCGATATATCGCTAGTAGTCCGAATATTCACAAGATAAACCTTCCACTGATGCCCGAAAATTTTATGGTATTCCTTATTTATTTGATAGTAGCACTTGGCATTTTTCTGAGTTGTTAAGGTAGAATAAAAGATCGAGAAATTTATACTTTAAAAGAAATATTTAAAAAATTATAAAATTTACAAATTTACCCTATTATCGTTGTGCACTTCATATCTATTATGAATTATTATTTTATTTTATTGGACCTCTAGTAAGTGTCGATGTTGACTCCCCGTCACTACTTCTCCGGGGTTAGGATAGATACTTACTAGATACACGTTGATTTACGTACTCATGTTGCACTTCTACACTAAATGTGCAGGATCTAACATGTTCATTTGGTGATCATCTTGGCGCGTAGGCGCATCTATTGAGAAGACTTTATGAGAGCTGTAACACATGCTACGCATCGCAGTCCACCGAGTCTCCATCGTACTATTTATTTTATCTTGTCTTATTTACATTCTGGACAGATGTTGTATTATTGTTGTAACTCCTTAGAAAATACTCTGGCACTTGTGACACCGGGTTTTGAGGGTTCTTATGGGTTGTTCATTATTGTAGTTCACGAAATATTATCATTTACCCTGTAAATCCTATTTTATACTGTTTAATTATTGGAAATTATGATTTCAAAGTAATAAAATGAGTAATCAAATTGGTAAATCACTGTTGGCTTGTATGACGGCGGCGTTACGTGCCATCACGGGATTTTGGGTCGTGACATTAAAATTCAGACAATATTATTGAAAAAAATAGAATAAAATATAAAATAAAAATATTTCAATAGTACTAAAGTATATATCTTCTATTATATTACAAAAAAGAAAGCGAGCAGAAAAAAAATATTAAACAAAGTAATATGCTAATAAAAATTTCTATTAACAATGTAATAATACTAAACATTGGATAATATAATAAGAAAAAATACGGAACAAAAAAAGGTTATTCAATGACTATATAAGTCTATTTAATTTAATAGAGATTTTATTATTGGGTATATCGTACTGACAAATAAGATGACAATTGAAATTTATTAAAGCAATACGATCTAACATGTTCAAACAAATATGATCACAAATTAATTTAATTAATAGTTTTTTAATATTGACCGCGCATCGCGCGTGTACGCCTACTAGTATAGTAAAATGCAACAAAGCTTTCTTCACAATGAGATTTACGGAATCCATTACTCAAATAGTCAATTAACTATCTGAAATCACCTACTAAAGTCATCTTTTTTTCGTTTGTTACAGCAAAATCACTTAACTATGCTTATAACACTCAAAAGGTCACTCTACTAGATTTCTCAAACTTTTGATTGCCAAATACCTATTTTACCCTCTAAATTATCAATTTTTATCTTCTTTTTATTTTTTTTAGCTTTTTAATATTATAATTTTTTTCTATTTTTAATTTATATTATGGATTTACCTATAGAATAAATAATTTTTATTTAGAAATTAAAAAAATAAAAATAGTATTTAAGCATATATACTGTTGGAATTATAAAATATTGAGCATAGTTAAAAAGAATTAATTAGAACAATTTGTTCAGAATAATAACTTTACACAATTGAGAATTGAAGAAAATAAAAGTTTCAAAATATATATTCAAGCACGTACTATAAAAAATAATTATTTAAAATAAAGATATTTTTATAATATACATTATATATTCTTGAAAATTATGCTCAATTATATTACAATTATAACATTATATATGCTAGAAAACTAAATTTTTATTTTTTATTTTATAAATAAAATTTTTGTGTTCTATAGGTAAGTCCATAATATTGATTAAAAAGAGAAAAAAATATAATATTAAAATATATTTTTTTTAAAAAGATAAAAGATGATAATTTAGTGGGTAAAATAGGTATTAGACAATCAAAAGTTTGAGAAATTTGGTTGAGTGATCTTGTGAGTGCTATAGGCCAGAGGCGGATCTAGAATTTTTATAACATGGGTGCACCACTAAAGAAAGGAGAAAAAAGAAAGTATTAAGTGGGAATTGATCTCTACTCCTCTAAGTAAATAACTAAGCATTCAACCAAGTGCACCATTTAGCCTCTTTAGAGCATGGGTGCCAGCAGTTAATACTGTGAAAATAGCACGAGCTAGCCAGTTTTTGGACTAGTAATTAGCCAGCGTTTGCAAAGTCATTAAAAAATAGCCATTATTTTGCTGCAACACGAAAAGTTCCAGCATAATATACTGGAGATTGGTGCACCTGTGTATGAACTTCCAGCATATTATACTGGAACTCCAACACAGTGAAAGTTCCAGCATAATATACTGGAGATTGGTGCACCTGTGTATGAACTTCCAGCATATTATACTGGAACTCCAACACAGTGAAAGTTCCAGCATAATATACTGGAGATTGGAGCACATGTGTATGAACTTCTAGCATATTATGCTAGATCAGTATATTATGCTGGAAGTCCAGTATATTATACTGGAATATTTTTCGGATTTTGAATAGTGTTTTCGTTCAAATTTATCTTTACATGAAAAGTGGCTAAATTTAAATTAATTTTGAAATTGTGGCTATTTTTCAATTATCACTTATAAATCTAGCTATTTTTTAATTTCACCCGATAATATTAGATCAATTCTAGCAAATATGTACATAAAATACTTAATTTAGCGAAGAGACTATGGGTTCACGTGCCCCATAAAATAGACTATAAATTCGCCTCTGCTATAGGTATAGTTAAGTGATTTTTCTGTTACAAACGAAAAAAAGTTAACTTAATTTCAGATAATTGAATGACTATTTAAGTAATGAACTGAAATTAACTAAGTAAATTTGTTCGAGTTGCGAAAGTCTGAACGTATCAATTCTAGCAATGTTTCTCGTTACGTAAAACCAAGAGCAGTGTTTGCTCAATAGTGCCTAGTTGTAATAGAAAAGAACGAATCTTTTATTAGTACTTCCAATAATTATATAGGAATGTCAAATAACGTATGGCTATCTTCAACCGATGATGAAAACAAATATGCTAGATGCCTATAATAGGTGCGCAACTAGAAGGTTAGCTACAGCCGCCTACAGTTTCGGCGATTCAATAGTTTTTGTTCAAATTTTGTGTTTGTATTAAGAAATTCATTAAATATATATAAAAATTAATTTTAAAACTCAATTACTAATACCTGATATCACGATCTTAAAATATAAAATCTATAAAGTTCAAATTCTGACTCCCCTAATATATATTACATAATAGTTTAGGACATTAACTTCACTATAGATCTGATTTCAGTATCACCAAAAATACTTTTCTTTCTTGCCGTCAACTATTCAGGGACCACCCCACGTAAAAGGAGATTTCAAAGAAAATATAAGATCTGATTTTTTAGCCAAAATTTAATCAAAGAGCAGTTTTATTTTTGATGCACAAGTAAATAGGTTAGAATATTTTTTTCCCTTTCCTTTTACGTCTTTTAACTCTTCAACAAGTGGCGGGGCGATTTTCATTANATATATATATAAAATTTACCCAGCTACGCACTGTAATTACCCTGCCCGTGTCTTCAACAACTCATAAAATGGATTTAATTTAACCAAACCTCCAACAGATTAATTTTTTTCAATCAAACAATAGATTAATAGATTAATGTATTATCATGGATTTAGCCTTATATATGTCACTTCAAAAAGGTGCAAAACAGTTGACTCTTTCAGACAACTTTACAATTAGTAGATGGACAGATTTGACCAAATCAACGCTAAAGTCAATTTTCTCACCCTTTCCACTCTTTTATAACGGTGGGGAGACCAATCCAAATAAAGAATACTAAACAAAATAAAGGTGTAAGAATTGGTTGTCTTAAGGAAATGGGAATGGTGAAGGTTTTATCCTGTTAAGGCAACTTATCAATATACATTATTTTAGTCCTTGGCTAATATCAAGAAAAATCGAAGTACAACTCATTTTGTCATTTCCATTACTAATAACTAATACTTTTCTCAAGTTCTGACTCAAGGTTACAGGCTGGAGGCACATGAGCCGATTGCTCAACTAGTGAGCCTATCGGACTTTTGATCTTTAAGGATTCCAATAAAAATGTATGACCGTTTTTAATATATATACACATATATGTAGAATTCTTGCCGGGGTTAACGGGGTCCAATGACCCCTCTACTCAAAACATAGGTCCGCCTCTGCATCACATGCCGATAAAACGAAAAACAGATTCGAATATAACTTACATGCACAAACGGTACGGTAAAGAGAATCTTTATAGTACTATTCAATGTATTTAAACTTGTTGTAGGTAAACCTGTCTTATTTTCCATGTTAGTGACTTGTACAGGGTAAAATTTCTTTAATACTGATTTTAAACTCATGAAAAAACAACTTATTACAGCAAAACTCTGCACTTCCAAGACAACAAAAATTTTACTTGCAATACATTATACATCTCATGAATCCTCATTTCAACAGCCATCTGACAAAGCAAACAGAAAAAGAAAAAAAAAAAACTGTACATGTTGTCGAATATTTTGGTACGCTTACATGCCAGAAGTTCCTTAAAATTGGATGTTAGTACCTGGCGCGCCAAGTGTGTTTACTTCTGTCTTTTAGATAGAATGAAGCGAAGCTGAAGGTCGAGGATAATTTGCTGCACGGGGAGTCTCTTCTGAACTGCTTCTGCATGACCTGTTGAATTCACTACTTGATTGACTGCTAATAAGCCGATTTAACTGCTGATCCTTGTTAGTATCATTTTTCGCTGTATCTTTGGATTCCTGAAGCTGCTCTAGAGCTGTTACCACCTCGTCCATTGTTGGTCTTGACTTGGGGTCCATGGCTAGGCATTGAAGAGCAAGGTTCGCTACCTTAAGGGCACGAGTGAGCGAATATTGTCCTTCAAGCCGGGAATCTAGAACACGGAAAACTCTACGTTTGCTTGTCAAATAAGGTCTTGACCACCCAACAAGACTGTGTTCCCCTGTTGGTCTATTCTTGTCTATTGCTTTCTTACCTGACAGAATTTCCAAGAGAACGACTCCGAAGCTGTATACATCACTCTTGGCAGTAAGATGACCTTCCAAATAAGAGAAACATATGGAGGTTAGAAACTAGATGTGCCATTGCATTATGATGAGTAGTGAATAGTGCTACAGCTATAGTTACTCTGTCCGTTGCATTTTATATCGGGTGTTTGACTGGTACCAAAAGCATCTTTAAATATGTCCCGACATTTCTATGGATAAAAGAGCATGTCATTAAGCGTAAAATGGGAAGTCTAAAGTTAAAGCGTTCCCAAATATAGAAAGATGTCATTCTTTTTGTAAAGATTAAAAAAGGAAGGGTGTCATATAAAATGGAATATGGGGAGTAATAAGCATGACAACTGTACAGATTTTCATGTAATTATGAGAGCATGATATTTTCAATGTACAACAATGAAGTTCGGTAAAATGCAGCTACGGTCTATTTAATTCACAAATAAAACCGGCACATCTTAATGCTCTCATCAATTCAGATGACCTCTAAACTAGAGTACATTTGCAGCTTGACACGAGTTGATGCGAATGTAACGTGAGAAATTCATTCAATGCAACTTGACACCACATAAAGGAACTATACAAATAATGTCATCAGATGGGAAAAAATGGAGTGGAACTGAGCGGCATGGATAACAAACCTGTAGATAGATACTCTGGAGCAGCATATCCATACGTTCCCATTACCCTCGTAGAGACATGGCTTTTGTCGCCAGTTGGACCATCCCTAGCCAATCCAAAATCAGAAAGCTTGGCATTGTAGTTCTGTAGATATGAAGTATAAAAGCAAATGCATCAAATCAGCAGTCAAACAACATTAGCATTAACGTATTGATGGTCAAAGAGGATGAAAGAGAGCTAAGCGACCCTTAAACATGCGATATACTTACCGAGTCAAGCAAGATATTAGAAGTCTTGAAGTCCCTGTATATAACACTTGTTTCTGCATTGTGAAGAAATGCAAGGCCCCTCGCGGCACCAAGGGCTATTTTCATACGGAGGCTCCAAGAAAGTGGCTGAAAGTATGAACCTCCTGAATCAAGGAAAACCTCATTTAATATTAAGATCTAACAAGTCTAACCGATAAACCATAATAACCAAACTGGCAGATAGGAAAGAGATTCAGAACTTACTCCTAAATAGATGATTCTCCATGCTACCCTTAGGCATGAACTCATAGACTAGAAGCCTGTGATCATCCTCTAAGGAATAACCAACCAATTTTACAAGATTTGGATGACGTAGTTGACCAAGATAATTTATCTCAGCCTGCAATTTTGTAAGTTCAAGAAGATAAAGACATTCAGCTATCCTGCTTGAAGATATTTAGCTGTCTTTAATTGGAAAGTTATAAATTCATACCATGAACTAGATGCAAATTAAGTAATCCTACTCACTGATAACAACATTATTAACCATATATTTACCCCATTTTACTACGATGTACCATGCAAAGTCAGTTATTAAGTACGTACAATTTCTACAATGTAGCATGCAGATAGGCAACCTAATAATAGTTCAAAATTACATTCATTTGCTCGTACATAACAAACTTCAAAAGAGGATCAATTCTAAGATCATGTTGTAAATCCAAGTGGCGAAATTGAACTCACCAGCCATTCCCGGTGCCCCTGCAAACCTTCTTGGTTTAACTTCTTCACAGCTATCACAATGCCAGCACCGGGCTTTGATGCTACGAGAGTTTGGTCATCAACCCACCCCTTGAAAACAGAACCAAAACCTCCTTCTCCCACTACACTGTCAGGACGGAAGTTTCTAGTGGCTGCCCGAAGTTCATTGAAAGTAAAACTCCTCAAGTTGGATGACTGCAAGATCTCACCCTCACTACGGGGAGTGGGGGGTACGGACCCTGATGACCTTTTGCTATATGAATTACTAGTCTCAGTACCATCTCCACTGACATTTCTCGAACCAATCCCTGAAAGAATCCATTTACATGTTGCAATCAAATGACACCTAAGAACAATAAACGAAGTGCACATATAAAAGCCAACAACTACTATCTTTGCAGCTCAAAAACTTCCATATATATAACAAAACCCTTCACAACAACATTATTACTGTAGTTGGAAGCAAAGCCTTTGCAAATCTGCATCTGCACTTCTCATGACACCATAACTTACCATGCAAAATCCAATATCAATCTGCTTCTCAAATTATCTTCCTTATCCTGTAGCTCTACCATTTCTTTATTATTTATTTATTTATATTTTTGGTAAGCTCCTCAGCAACTTTAAGGGCATCCTTCTGTTTCTAATTTACCTTTCTTTCTTCTTCCTTCTTCTAATTTTTTTCTTTTCTTGAAGCAAGCAAATCATTTGAACCATATAGAGCCAGAATCAGTGGCGGAGCCACATTGAAGCAAGAGATGTCAAGCGACACCCCTTAGCCAGAAAATTACACTATTTTGCTAGATAATTTTTTTAAATTTTATGTATATTTACTATACTTTGACTCCCCTTGACTTTTCGATGTATCTAATTATTTATATTTTGACACCCCTTTATGAAAATTTTGGATCCGTCACTGGCCAGAATTAACCAAATTGAACTTCAGGAGCACTAAGTTGAAGCTGTTTTTTTTTTGGTTTCCCTACTAGTATCCAGTGTCGGTAGCCGCATTGGGGCCCACAAAATCCGCATTCGCGCCGGAAAGATGTGGTAAAACAAAAGCTATTTCTCAACTGAGACCTCCGATTAAGTTGAAGTTGTTATAGTACTAATAGTGCATACAAGTAACCAAAAAAAAAAGGGAATAAACTGAAGAAAAAAATAATAATGCCAAAACCAAATAAGACCATACTTTAGTATTTCTGGTTCCCCCCTCCCCCAACCCCCACCCCGCCAAGCAGAGGAAAGCACGGAAATGGTACAGAATCAAATTCCAAAAGAGGATGGTTGAAGTGAAATACCTGTACCAGTATAAAATGTAGTCTCAGCTTTGATTTGGTTGCTCAAACAAATCCCCATTAGAGCAAAAACCTCAAAAGATTCTAACTTTATAGCTCCACAAGCAAAAAAATAAATAACCACCAACTTCAAGAATTCATAGCAACATGCTCAGAGAACCAAATTTAGATCCAATATGAACTAACAATTTTTTTCATTTTTATCTAATGCTTGTATTTCTCCAAAGCGAATTGCTTAGTTGTAAAGATAAAGTAGTGGGAAAGCCAATGGAAGTTGCAAACTTTCTCTACTGAACTGGGGTTCTAATCATTTTTCAATTTGTGGGTTTGAACTAAATTTATGTTAAAGAAAGTTACAGGTGAAAAGGAGAAGGAAAAAAAGGGGATTTTTATTGCTTTCTTGATTCTCTATTGGTTTTCTTAGAAGAAGCCTTTTTTTGACCATTTTGCTAAAAGCCATAGAAGGTTGACTTAGTCTTGCAGTAGGACAAAGACACTCAAAATAGCTTTATTAGTTGATCAGTAAATTATCAACCAAGCCTGTTTACAGCTGAAATTGACTTATTCGAATAATCCAAATTCGTGTTAATGTCGTCTCAAATTATTTGTCTAGTTTTTTTTACGAGCCCCTTAAAAAAATATTAATTGAGAATGATTTTTGAATATTTTATCATTATTTATATCTTAGGATATAATTTTTTTTTCATTAAATATTTACTCCATATTTTAGGAGTATTATTCAAGAATAATTACTACTTTTAAGGGTAAAATAAGAAAATAATTATAATTAATTTTGTCTTAAATTTTTAAAACGATAAATAATTTGAGATAGCTATTTTTAGAAAATACGATAGATAATTTGAAACGGAATAAGTAGATACGAGCAATTAAAGATAGAAGTACTTTCCACCAAAAGTTTCTTCATTTTCAAGTCGCAAAATCTTAGAATTCGAGAGCACTTATTAAAGACGGAGAAATTTCATTTATTCATCCTACCACACTTCTTATGCTACGACTGAAATTAATTTCTAACATTAGTTGGAATTGCTTAGCTGTTAGATTTTGTGTTGTGATTTTCTTTTAAGGTTGCTAGATTCTTGGTGATTAGTCATATCTTAGATTGTTTCTTTGGATTTATTAAAACTATACCATAAAAGGATTATTATGGCATGATTATTAAGATGTCTTTTGCTAGCTTCGAGAATCTTTTATAATAAAATTTTGCCCTTTATTTGAGGTCCTGATAATGTAATTATCAAAGCCCCTTGAGATCTACAATTTTAAGGTTAAAGTTGTACGGTATTTCTCTATTATCCATAATGCATTAAAAGTTGTTTAATTAATTGATGTCCGTCTTATTAAGGAATCATTTGTCTGTCAAATAGAATAGGCGTTTGGGCAAATATTTGGTGAAACGAAAAAAGAAGTATTTAAAATTGAAGTTAAAAAAAATAAGTATTTGGAAGTGAATAAAATCAAGAAAGTCTAAGTCTTTGATACCGTCAAACTTGAAATGACGGCCGATGGAGGGAAACAAAAATATAAGAACTGCACTTGTGCAATAATACAACTAGTATATAGAGTTAGCACACTTTTTATTTTAATTTCCTTTTTTTTAACATATAAGTATGATCCATAAAAGACACTTTTTATTTTCATTTCATTTCCTTTTTAACAACAAAAGCAACATACAGGAGTCTGAGACAGATACGTAACCTTACTCCCATCTGGAACAAATAAAAAGATTGTTTCCGATAGACACTCGGTTCAAGTCACACATAATCGCAACAATCATTAAGTATATCCATACAGTTATTAAGAAAGTAGAGAAGATTCAATTGACAACTTGAAGAGTGTTCTAATAAAACTTTTGAGTATTAGAGATGAACAATAATATCTAAGATTTAGTTGAAACAAGTAATATGAAGTTAAAAATTAAGATAGTTGTAAGAAAAGACGATCTCACCCATAACGGAAGGAAGTCATTTTTCCCCTTTTGATGAAAACGTTTTTCATGTAAAATATTTCCTTTCATACCAAAGATCAACAAATAATTTTCTCGTGAAAAATATTATTCTAAAAATCATTTTCCCTAAATACCAATCACACCCAAATTGAAAGGTAAAATTTTCATGTTGCGCTCAGTTTTGCGTCACCCATTTTATTTGTGTACACTTTTTTAAAAAAAAATTAACTGATACTCAATTTTTGGATAACTTCATATACATACACTTTTATCTTATTCTTATTATTTTCTTCTTCTTTGTGCTTAGAGTTTCTTCTTCTTATTCTTCTTATTCACAAAATGGGTTTGTTAAATTTATTATTGTTTTGAAAATTTGATGATTGAGATTCATTCTTTAAGTTATTTGAAGGTTATATTTCAAATTAAAGCTTATTTGGAGTGGATTTGGGCATTGAATCGTATATTGGATTATTAAAATTTGAATAACAAGTTTATGTTTTAGAACTTAAGATTTGAAATCTGAAGTTGCATTCAATAGATTGAACTACTTAAGATTTGAATTTCTGAAGTTGCATTCAATAGATTGAACTACTTAAGATTTGAATTTCTGAAGTTGCATTTGAAAGATAAAATAACTTCAGATTTGATTTTTGAAGTTGCATTGACCAAATTGAATTACTTCAAATTCAAATTTCTGAAGTTGCATTTGAAAGATATAAGAACTTCATATTTTATTTTTGAAGTTGCATTGAGAAAATTGGAAATTAAATTACTTTAGATCCGAGCGAGTATACTTTGCAAATTTTTGTACAATGTGAGTATAATTTCAATGGTGGCACCAAAGGTGCTTATATATAAAATGCCCCAATTGAAAGAAATTGATTCACTAATGGGCTTATGGTTATCTATATGCAAGAATGAATATGAGATCAAAACGGGCTGAAGCTGAAGCTTCCCACCCAAACAGAATTCACAAGGGCAAGTTACACATTAAGCTGGCCAAAAATAATTACATATGCTAATTAATATATATATATATA